TTTTCACACAAATAGAGATTTCTTTTGGTGGTATTTGATCACCTGTGCACTTTTTATTTTTGGCACTATAAACAAAAACATTTTTGAAAGAATTTAAAAAAAAAACAATATTTTCTTATTTCTGTCATAAAAAATATCCAAAAAAACTAAAATTTTCTCATAAATTTAGGCCAAAATGTATTCTGCTACATGTTTTTGGATAAAAAAAATCCCAATAAGTGTATATTTGTTGCTTTGTGTGAAAGTTATAGCATTTACAAACTATGGTATAGATAATGGAATTTACACAGCTTTTATTTTCTGACTGCTCATCACATTTCTTGAGGTGCTAAAATACCACGACAGTGCAAACACCCCCAAATGACCCCTTTTCAAAAAGTAGACACCCTAAGCTATCTGCTGAGAGGCATATTGAGTCCATGGAAGATTTTTTTTTTTTTTTTCTGCAAGTTTCTGGAAAATGACAAAAACTTTTTTTTTTTTTTTTACACAAAGTTGTCATTTAAATTATATATTTCTCACACAAGCCATGGTCATATGTAAAATTACACCCTAAAATACATTCTGCTACTTCTACGGAAACTGTGATAGGTAGTCGGGAAGTGTAATGAGGAAATAAAGCCCTTTAACCATTAGCCGCCCGGCCAATGGCCGTTTGGTGGCTTCAAAAGTGTCTCTGCACTCCGGGTGCTCGCCATTTGGCGTGCTCCCGCACATGCGCAGTTTGCGCTAATGCAGAGCGGCGCAGCAGTGCGATCTGTCACCGGCCGTGCACCTCGGACACGGCCGATGACAGATCCGAGTACCGGCTCCCGTTGCTGGTACCATGTGACCTGCTGTGACCAATCACAGCAGGTCACATGACAGTTGTATACAATGGATGGCTTCATTCATGATGCCATCCATTGTATACTAGTGCCTAGCTGTGAATGGTCACAGCTAATCACATGCACATGTCATGTGATTAGCTGTGACCAAATCACAGCTAAGCACAAAAAACAAAACAAAAAAAAAGCTAAATGAATCGATTTCATTCAGGTAAATGCTTGCTTATAGCAAAGTAATTCTTTGCTATAAGCAAATTGTGTAAAAAAAAAAAAAAAAAAAAAAAAATACTGATCACTTGCCCAAAGTAGTACAATGTTACTATGGTAACATTGTACTACTTTGGTCATAGTAAAATATGAAAAAAAAAAAATCTTAAAAAAAATAAAAAAAAAGTAATAAAAAATTAAATATAATAAAAAAAATTTAAAAAAATTTAAAAAAATATATATATATTTTTTTTTTTTCATACTGTCACCAGTCAGTGTCCCTGTTCACCACCATGCCAGTTATATGATGACGCTGTACTGCACTGGTGACAGTATGTAAAAAAAAAAATAGTGAAAATAATTTTTTTAATTTTTTTTTTCATTTTCCGAAAAATTATGACAGAAAAAATACAACTTCAAAAAACTCGCCATGCCTCTTATGAAGTACGTCGGACTGTCTACTCTGCAAAAAGGGGTCATTTGGGGATACTGTACTATTCTGACATTCTTGGACCTCAAGAAATTAGATTGGTTGTCAGTACTTCAGGATTGATCAATATTCAGATCTATACCATAGTTTGTGAACTCTATAACTTTCCTACAAACTAAAAAATACATCCTAATTTGGGTTATTTTCACCAAAGACATGTAGCAGAATACATCTCGGCCTAAATTTATGAAGAACAATTATTTATTTGTAAACTTTTATAACAGAAACAAAGAAAAATTTGTTTTTTTTTTCAAAATTTTTGGTCTTTTTTTGTTAATTTAGCAAAAAATAAAAACCCCAGCGGTGATTAAATACCACCAAAAGAAAGCTCTAGTTGTGTGAAGAAAATGATAAAATTTTAGTTTGGGTACAGTGTTGTATGACCGCAATTGTCATTCAAAGTGTGAGAGCGCTGAAACCTGAAAAATGGCCTGGGCAGGAAGGTGTAAAATTGCACGGTATTGAAACGGTTAAAAGCCTAAAGGTGCTTATTGGATTTTGGGGTCCTGTACTTGGCTAGACTGCCAAAACGTCTCTCACATGTGGTACCCCCATGCTCGGGAGAAGTAGCAGAATGTATTTTGGGGAGTAATTCCACATATACCCATGGCATGTGTGAGCAATAAATCATTTAAGTGACAATTTTGTGTAAAAAAAAAAAAAATTTTTTTGTTTGTCATTTTCCAAAAGCTTGTGGTAAAAAAAAAATAAATTCTTCTATTGATTCAACATGCCTCTCAACAAATAGCTTGGGGTGTCTACTTTCCAAAAAGGGGTCGTTTTGGGTGTGGGGGCATTTTATGGCCAGCATTAGAGGTTTATGCCACACATCATTCACTCTTCTAACCACCTGAAGACCAAGCCTTTTCTGACACTTTTTGTTCACATGAAAAAAATCTGTATTTTTTGCTAGAAAATTCATTTAAACCCCAAACATTATATATTTTTAAAGCAAACACCCTAGTGAATAAAATGGTGGGTGCTGCAATTTTTTATGTCACATAGTACTCGCGCAGCGATTTTTCAAACGCAATTTTTAAAAAAAAAATACACTTTTTTTTTACTTTTAATGCACAAAAACACAATATATTGGCCAATTATTTGGTAAAATATAAAAGATGATGCTGAGTAAATAGATACCAAACATAACATGCTTTAAAACTGTGCATGCCCCGTGCAATGGCGACAAACTGCATACGTTTTAAAAGCCTTTACAAGCTACCATTTTAGATTTACAGAGGAGGTATAGTGTGAGAATTAACAGTAGACAGTCCCCTCTGAAGACGTGCTGGTGCACAAAACGCGTAAGAGGGAGCCAATTACGCCGTGACGTCATGCCATTGGAGCATCGTGGAGCTCTGGCGGACATCTTATCTTGTGGACGGTTAGTGCGATTTCTGATACTTGCTTGTTCATTCATGGATACATCTTTTTACTCCTAATAAAGCGTTAATCAATATACTACACTATGGGCATGTTTTATCTTGACTCCTTTGCGGAGTACTGATTTTCCAGACGCCCAGTACCAGTCCCAAGCCTCCAGAGAGGGAGCCTGTTAACCCTTTGAGAGGTGCACCCATCCATCCAGGAGTTCTGGACGCCCCTGGATCACCCTTTAAGGCCCTTGGATCCATCCATCCTGAGAGGGAGTTATTTCCACATCTGACCTGGCCCTGATGACCTTATCTGATGACACCTGGATATATTCTATAAACGCGCATAAATACTGCGCGTCCGGTGAGTGTGCATTTCTTCTGTTCACGAAAGCACAATCACCGATCTGAGCCATCAGGACTTTATTGGCACATTTACATCACTTTATGAACTATTATTTTACCATATTCATGTTTTATGAATTATTCACCTCAGTATCATTTCATATTATTTATCTACTATTTAATAGAGCTGCACTTTTATACATTTTGTGTCTTTTTAAAGGGTTTATTTTGGTTACCTTAGTGTACAGATGCTGATATACTGTGTTTACATTTTGAGCGCTCAGATGCATTTCTTAGTGTTAGAATTACTGCCCTTGAGCTGACGATCGTGGCGATACCTCACATGCATGGTGCAACTGCTGTTTCTATACTGGCACAGGGTCAAGGCTCACGAACGCAGGTGCACGGGGGGGTGAGGGTACTTTTTTTTTTTTTAAGTTATTTTGATTTTTTTTATTGTTGCACTGTCCCTTTATTTTTTATTTATTTATTTTATCACTTTTAATGCTATCACAGGGAATGCAAATATTCCCTATAACTTCAATGGGCATTGTCATATATTCAGAAATCTGGATTCTATTAGACTCTAGATATCTCCTCTGCCCTTACATTATCTAATCAAACCAGGATCGGTGTGATCAGATGCTTTCCCAATTTACAAATAGCGCTATTTATATCCTGCAAAACTGAAGTGATGAAATGCTCGTAGCTTCTGATTTTTTAGGCTATAGAGATGATTGGCACCATTCTGGTCTCCAATCAGCTCTATGGTCAGCTGGCAGAAACACCGGCTGCATTCTCAGGTTGCCCTGATGGCACAGGACTGCCCGAGAAGGACGTGGAAGGCAGTGGGGGAGGGGGGGCATTGTCTCCCACTGCTTGTAAAAGCAATCCTGCAGCTAATTAGCCACTATGATTGCTTTTACATGAAAGCCGATCGCCAGCTGAAAAAAATGATACCAGGATGATGCCTGCAGCTGTAGGCATCATCCTGGCATAACCATTCAAAATCCAGTAATGTACCAGTACGTCGCTGGTCCTTGTTGGGTATATATGCTATGTTCTATTTTTTTTTGTGTGCAGCCTGTGGACTGAATGAAAAAAAGAGAAGAAAAAAATGTGTGGTATGCCCACCATTAAATTATACCGCCCTGCATCCACCCACTTCTAATGGTAGGCACACATTCGGTCACACTTTGCAACATGCGCCAGTTTTAAGATTGAACAAATGTCTAAAAATAGTGGCACGCTTCAATAAAAATTGTCCACGTATAAGTGGTACCTCATATGGAAAAAGAATGACACCAAGTCCCAAACTATCTTGCCACTACTCCCCATGTAGTCTGGGCATCTGGGTGCTCCACGTGACTATCTTTTCCCTCGTAAATCCAAAACATAAGTATAGCCTGTTGTCCTCTCACAGATCTTCTACATCTTGACCCCATATCTGGCACGCTTGCTGGGGAGAAATTGTTTGAATTCAAGGCGGCCAGAAAAATGAATGAGGGACACATCAACACAGATTTTTTGCTGGGGAGTATAGACATCTGCAAATTTTTGGTTAAGGAGATTTACGAGGGGCTGAATTTTGTGGAGCCGGTCAAATTCAGGGTCACCTCGAAGACGACAGAGTGTATTGTTGTTGAAATGCATAAAACACATTATACTCTCATATCTATGCCTGGCCATGGCAGCAGAGAACATGGGCATATGATGAATCGGGTCTGTGGACCAATACAACCGCAATTAATTTTTTTTTGTTGAGGGTTAGGCCCCAAAAAAATATATATTCGAAAACCATAATGGGTTTCCATGCGAATGGTCTGGCAAGGTTTGAATTTTGGTTGTGGATCAAAGCATTTATATGCACAACAATGTATCGCCGCCAATCAATGCATACAGATATTCCAAGAAAAACAGTTCCAAAAAATCAAGGGGAGTAGTTAAATTTGCTATTTCCACCTGAATTCCGGGTTGAGCAGTGAATGGGGGAAGTATGGGTGCTGCAGAATTTGTGGACAGCCAAACGGGATTTGCAAGCACATCTGGAAGGATACTAGGGGCTCTACGGGCCTGTGTGAGAATTCTTGGTGGTTGCGGGACAATACTTGTGCTCGCCACCGTACCAGATTGTACTGCACTTATGGGACTCGCCATGTCACCAAGTGATACTGCAGTGCTGGTATTATTATTATACAGGATTTATATAGTGCCAACAGTTTGCTCAGCACTTTACAATATAACGGGAGACAATACAGCAACAAAACAGTTCAACACAAGAGGGTTAGGAGGGCCCTGCCCCTTGGAGCTTACAATCTAAGAGGTATGTGAAGGGCCAGGATGTACTAGACTGCTGGTGCTTGCCAGTTCACCAAAAGGTAGTGTGGCACTAGTACTGGCACTCTGCTGCATATGAGAGTCATCAAAATTTACCGTCAAGTGCTAACAGAATCAGGCCTGATTCTGCGAACACTACAGTTTTGTGTGCAATGGATCAAGTGACAGTGACCTACTGGCAATGCACTTGCTGGGGAAGAAGGTGGGGGGTAAGAGGAGGGGCAAAATGCAGGTGCTGGCAGGTGCCGGGGCTGATCCCGCTAACGCTGTGTTTTTGGGCATGCTATGCTAATGTGAACGGTGGTATAGTGCTGATCTGATCAAACATATTGATCTGTTCAGACACTATACTAGCAATGGAGATTTATTGTGTATGAGCGTCTTCCTGGCAATCAAGGGGTTAAATGTGATGACTGGTGTACTGACAGGCAGTCTGACGCCATCTGGGAGGGGCGTGAAAACCACAGGAGCGTGAATCACGTGTATATATACAGGTGAAACTCAAAAAATTAGAATATCGTGCAAAAGTTAATTTATTTCAGTAATGCAACTTAAAAGGTGAAACTGATATATGAGATAGACTCATTACATGCAAAGCAAGATAGTTCAAGCCGTGATTTGTCATAATTGTGATGATTATGGCTTACAGCTCATGAAAACCCCAAATCCACAATCTCAGAAAATTAGAATATTGTGAAAAGGTGCAATATTCTAGGCTCAAAGTGTCCCATTCTAATCAGCTAATTAAGCCATAACACCTTCAAAGGGTTCCTGAGCCTTTAAATGGTCTCTCAGTCTGGTTCAGAATCACAATCATGTGAAAGACTGCTGACCTGACAGTTGTGCAGAAAACCATCATTGACACCCTCCATAAGGAGGGAAAGCCTCAAAAGGTAATTGCAAAAGAAGTTGGATGTTCCCAAAGTGCTGTATCAAAGCATATTAATAGAAAGTTATGTGGAAGGGAAAAGTGTTGAAGAAAAAGGTGCACAAGTAGCAGGGATGACCGCAGCCTGGAGAGGATTGCCAGGAAAAGGCAATTCAAAAGTGTTGGGGACTTTCACAAGGAGTGGACTGAGGCTGGAGTTGGTGCATCAAGAGCCATCACAGACAGACGGATCCTGGACATGGGCTTCAAATGTCATCCTCTTGTCAAGCCGCTCCTGAACAACAAACAACGTCAGAAGCGTCTTACCTGGGCTAAAGAAAAACAGATCTGGTCTGTTGCTCAGTGGTCCAAAATCCTCTTTTCTGATGAGAGCAACTTTTGCATCTCATTTGGAAACCAAGAACCCAGAGTATGGAGGAAGAATGGAGAGGCACACACTGCAAGATGCTTGAAGTCCAGTGGGAAGTTTCCACAGTCTGTGTTGATTTGGGGAGCCATGTCATCTGCTGGTGTTGGTCCACTGTGCTTCCAGGGTCAACGCAGCCGTCTACCAGGAGATTTTGGAGCACTTCATGCTTCCTTCCGCAGACGAGCTTTATGAGGATGTTGACTTCATTTTCCTGCAGCACTTGGCACCTGCCCACACTGCCAAAAGCACCAAAACCTGGTTCAATGACCGTGGGATTACTGTACTTGATTGGCCATCAAACTCGCCTGACCTAAACCCCATAGAGAATCTATGGGGCATTGCCAAGAGAAAGATGAGAGACATGAGACCGAACAATGCAGAAGAGCTGAAGGCCGCTATTGAAGCATTCTGGTCTTCCATAACACCTCCACGGTGCCACAGGCTGATAGCTTGCATGCCACGCTGCATTGAGGCAGTAATTGCTGCAAAAGGGGCCCAAACCAAGTACTGAGTACATATGCATGCTTATACTTTTCAGAGGTCCGGTTCTATGTACAATCCTTGTTTTATTGAATGCATGTAATATTCTAATTTTCTGAGATTGTGGATTTGGGATCTGCACCAAAATTAAATTTACATCCTTTTTTTCCCCCACAAATTGGGCTTTCTTTCAGTGGTATTTGATCGCCTGTGCGGATTTTATTCTTTGCTCTATAAAAAAAAAAGACTGACAATTTTGAGAAAAAAAAAACAATATTTTGGACTTTTTGCTATAAAACATGTCCAGTAAAAAAATTTAAAAATCAAATTTCGTCATAATTTTCGGCCAAAATGTATTCTGCGACATGTCTTTGCTAAAAAAAAAATTCCAATACGTATAAATGAATTGGTTTACGTGAAAGTTATAGCGTTTACAAACTGTGGTATAGATACTGGATTTTTAATTTTTTTTTTATACTATTATTAGTGGCAATCAGCGACTTATGGCGGGACTGCGGCGGACATTTTGACACTGGGGGGGAACTGACTTGGGGTCACTGACATCCCCAGTTACACCAATACAGTGACCAGTGCAAAAAAGAAACACTGACACTCAGGGGCGGACTGACAATTCATGGGGCCCCCAGGCAATAGGGGATCATGGGGCCCCTGTGTCCTTGCCCAAACTCAAAAAAGCCTATGAAAAAGGTGCCAGGAGCATCTCATGGGGCCCCCTACTGACCCCGGGCCCTCGGGCAGTGCCCGAGTTTCCAAATGGTCAGTCCGCCCCTGCTGACACTGTACTAATGGCACTGGGGAGGAAGGAGTTAACTTTTGTAGACAATCAAAGGGTTAACTATGTGAGGGGAGTGTTTCACTAGGGGACGGGGGTGTGTGCCTCTCTGTTACACACTGTTCTGGGAGGCTGTGACCAGCAATCCCGGAACAGTGAGCTGAAAGCTGACAGGGAGGAAAGCTCCATTGAAAACAATGCAGCCTTCCTCTCTGTCAGTGATTTCCGGCAATCACCGGGCTTCGGTGGGTAATCACCAGCTGGGACCCAGTGATTGACACCCGTGGCCATGATCGGTGCCGCGGGTAGAGCGGTCGTGCTCCTCACGCGTGCCCCCTACCACGGAAAGCAGGATTACGTTTATATACGTGATCCTGCGCACAGGGGCTGCCTTGTATGTACTTATATGTACTGCTGGCGGTCCCCTAGTGGTTAAAGATTGCAAAGTTTATCTTGTCTATTTGTAACCTTAGCGTGGTCCATTTTTTAAATATATTATTAGTTTATGGTTACTCCCCCCACCTTTAAAAGATTTCAGTTTGTTTTTCACTTGGGTTGTACAGTTTATAGGTCACATTAAAGGTGGAAAAAGTTCTGAAATTATTTATCTTTGTCTAATTTTTTTACGTCACAGAAACCTGACATTTTAACAGGGGTGTGTAGACACTTTAATCTACTGTGTATGTATGTATATGTGTGTATATATATATATATATATATATATATATATACTGTATGTGTGTGTGTGTATATAGTGTATTTTAGTTGTTTAGGTTATTGCATTTTGGCATTAAGTTTTGATTTTCATGCATTCTCTTTCACTGTAAATAAATCTCACAATATATGCTGTACATATGGTCTGGTCCCAGTTTTCTGGTGTAGCTACATATATCTGGTCACCTTAGCTACTGACTCCTTGCAGCCTAATGGTATTTAAGAAAACATGGCAAAGCTAGGCCACCCAGGGACAGGGACGTTGGCAGTTACAAAGTGGACTTGACAATCCTAGGTGTGCCACCTGCCCAGATAAAGGAGCTGACTATATGGTCTAGTCTATAGAAAAATGCTTGCGGGATATGTACTGTAGTGTGTCTAAACAAATATAAAAACTTGGGCAAAATAGACATTTTAATGATTTTTATACGGCCTACCGGGGTTAAGTGTAGAGGCTTCCACACAGCACATCTCTGAGTCAAGTGGGTTACCACCTGGTTGAGCTTATACAAAAAGAAGAACAAATGCCATTATTAAGGGTGTAACCACCCATCAGAAAATATTTCTTTGTACTTCCTTCATATATTCATCAATGTTGAATGATGGAATAGTGAGTAGTGAAACTCCTGGAGAATAAATGTGCAATAAATAAAGAATCTGGGAAGAGTCACCATATACATAAATCTGCATCTATCGCAACAAGCTTGAATCCAATAGTTTAAATGGCTCTAAGGAAGAAATGTATTATTGTAAACGTTATTATCTTCATTGTATTCCATCATCTTCATATAAGCTGATAAATGAGATTGCATTGTGTATGGCCAACCTCAATCGGCCGATATTCCTTAAATAGAATGCACTCAGTGGATAACAATAATGGTAAATCTATGATGAATGATAAAAATATTAAAGTAGGGGGTCGTCTTATACCCCCAAGTCGTCTTATACGCCGGAAAATACGGTAATCAGTTTTCTCCTATTTAATGCCCAAAAATATCTGCGTTAAGCATTGTTATATGGAAACCGGGACTTTTTGTCCATAAACCTTTTTAAAGGAACCATCTTGCTCTTACTTACAAGAGGAATTTTTGAGGCCTATAGAAGGCTATTTACATATATGTCCAGTGCAGTATTGCGATCCAAGCTTTACCTACATTTATAACAATTTTTGGCATTCAGGAGAGATATCACCTCTCATCTTTTGAAAACAGGTCTTAAAGATCCATACTCTATAAGTGGAAACAACAGTGACTTCCATTAGGGTAACTATTTCTTTCATTGGAACTGCCCATAGTGATTTATGATTTTCTGTATATTAATATTTTTATCCATCATAGATTTACCATTATTGTTATCCACTGAGTGTATTTCTATTTAAGGAATATCGGCCGATTGAGGTTGGCCATACACAATGCAATTTCCTTTACCAGCTTATATGATGATGATGGAATACAAGGAAGGTAATAACGTTTACAATGATACATTTCCTCTTTAGAGCCATTTAAACTATTGGATTCAAGCTTGTTGCTATAGATGCAGATGTACGTATATGGTGACTCTTCCCAGACTCTTTATTTATTGCACATTCATTCTCCAGGAGTTTCACTACTCACTATTCTATCATTCAACATTGATGAATATATGAAGGAAGTACAAAGACATTTCCAAGATAAGAGAAAAATAAATAAGAAATCAAAACTGTGAAGATTTAACCATTTTGAATAC